CCTATGACCACAGTAACAGATAAACAAAGTCAGGACCTATCAGTAAATTATCAAGACTGAGAGGATGAGGATTTGGTTAATGGTGTATAGTGTTTTATACAATAACCAATAAGTTAACCGTAGGTCCTTAGAGAAGATGGCTAACCACAGTACTCAATACCAATATCAATAGCCTGAAAATGCATAAACAAAAATCAACATATTCACTCCTTTCCCACCATAATACTTATATTTTTCAAGACTTTGAACATTGTTCTGAGCTTCTATACAAAGAAAAAAAAAAAAAAAAGGCGAAAGTGAGACCAAACACAGTCTTCCATTTGATGGGAAGGAAAAGACTATTATTTTAGTAAAGTCACTGCTGCAGCTGACAAGGTGATGCTTGTTATTTGTCTTTAAGACATGCAAGAACCAGCAGGGGAGTGCATATTCAATCACTGTGTCAAGGGGAAAGCAAATGCTAAATGATTAAAGAAGATAAAATAGGGAATTACATAACTATGCTTTGAGTTTTAAAGCTGTTAAAAGACAAGTAATTTAAAATTTCAGGGAAAAAAAACAAAATGTAAATACTACACGCTTTGAAGATTAATGGAGCATGTTGTATGTCAATTATAAGCAAAATGTACTCTTGAAAGCAGTCAAGATACAAGAGGACATTAATTAGTATTTTATGTGATATCTAGCATCTGGGAAGTAAAGATAAAGATAATGATTAAAGCAAAATTTTCTGCACTAAAATCAATCAACTTGTACTTTGCTTAGTTTCCTAAAAACTTCTACCATTACATATAAACAACTTATTATTTAGAAAAATGTTAAGTATTTAATCATTCATTCTTAATTCATACCTTTACAATATACACTTAAAGGAACATAATCATCTCATAAGGGAATTCTGATAGAATAAATTTTATAAAATTTCAGTGATTTCTCATTAATTAGTTGTTACTTAGCAGAATTTTAAACACATCTTTGAAGTAGATCACTAGTCCTAGTAAGCTTCATAGTCTATTGCTCAGCAAATCTCTGTCCTCCAAAATACCAAATATAGATTGAATCAACTAAAAGACTGAATGCTTCTCTTTAAGGAGTGTTATACCAAAGAATACATATATGAACATTAAGAGGCAAAGCACACCTGACATAACTTTGCATGCAGTAAAACAAGTGTCTACACAGTTAAGTAATAAGTACAGAAGCAGGTTGCTCTACAGTCTATAAATCAAGAGCAATTCTACTTTGTCATTTTCTTCTTTTGTTGTTGTGTTTTTGAGATGAACTTACTGGCCCTGAACTTGCTATACACCCAAGCTTCCCTCAAACTTGAAATCTCTTGCGTCACCCTTCAGAGTGTGAGGATTACAGGAACATGTCACCATGCTTACCCCATTTACTTTCTTAATAAATTTAAAATATCTCTTCTAGCTAGTGCTTTCAGGAAAAAATGTGAGGAAGCATGTTTTCTAATAAAAAAACAAAAGTAAAGGAGGCTTAAACTTTCTATTTATAACTTTATTTCCTAAAATTCAGAAAATGAAAGTTCCAAATCAGATAGCAGTACAAAAATCTTTCATTTGATTTTTAAGAGGAGTTCTTTGTTTGTTTGTTTGTTTGTTTGTTTTTGGCTTGCTCAGGATGCCTTAAGGGCAGGTCTGGTAAGGCATGGGGAGCTGGGGATCGAACCAGGTCTGGGTCCCCTGCACCTGACTGAGTTTGCCCCAGCAGGCACTTAAACAACTGAGCTAACCCACAAGCCCCTTCATTTGATTTTTAAAAGAAAGCCAAAATCATAAATATTTAATATTTTTAAGGGCTGGCCAAATAGCTCAGCAGATTAAAGTGCCTGCTTAGGTAGATGCATTGGCCTGGATTCTATCCCTTGAGCGCCTTGCCGGCCTTGCTGGCCTCGCCCCTGGGGCACACTGAGGCTGGATTGAAACTGGGCTTGGTGGGGGCACAACTGTAATCCCAGTGCTTTGGGAGGCTGAACACAGGGGTATCACTACGAATCAGATCTATGTAGTAAGACCCTGTAGACCTTTACTAAAAAATACAAATAAATAAATACTATACTATACTATAAGGGCCAGCCAAATAACTCAGTGAATTAAAGCTCCTGCTTAGGCAGATACATGGGTAGGGGGGTTCCATCCCAGGCCTGCTATACAGGCCCCTCCCCTGGGGCATGCTGAGATGGCCACTGAGACTGGTCATGGTGGTGCATAACTGTAATCTCAGCACTTGGGAAGCTGAAAACAGGAGAATCACTACAAGTCCAATCTGTATAGTGAGACCCTGTAGACCCTGTAGATTCTGCACTAAATACAATATAGATATAGATATAGATATCGATATCGATATAGATATCGATATAGATATATAATATTCATATTTTTGATGGCTACAGATCTTAAAGAATTGGATAAAGCTGAAAGATAAGTACCAGCAGGAGGTGTGGTGGAGACACTGAGCTGTGCTGGGATTAAACTTAAAAGGGAGCCATCCACACTTACTTGTAGACCACATTAACAGTCTCCTTTCCTATTCTAAATAGGGGAAGCAAGAAAGATCACAACAGCAGAAAAATTATAAAATCTGTAAAGTCTGCATATTTTACTTATCAGAATAAACCGAGCATTTTATTGTGTCTACTCAATATAATCCAGATCCTTTTATAACACATTTTAATGGTCTATACTCCTAACTACGTAAGGAAAGAAATGTTAATCCTTTATACATGAGTGATTTCAAGTAGCTTAATTCATACTCAAATTCCATTTAAAGTAAAACATAATTGTGATGATGGGTTAATAAAAGTAAAAAATATTTAGAAAAGGTCACTACTGCCTGGCTAACTATGCCACAAGGAAAATATCTTAAGTTGTTATATCATTGTCTTCCTTCTGATAAACAATTCTAACTTAAATCCTAACTTTTTTAGCAAACACATAAAATATTTTATAGAAAGAAAAGTTGAATTCATACAGCCATGAAACATTCATAATACACTGGAAATAAACAATAATTTCTCACTTAGAAAAATATAGCTTTAATCACAGCCACATCAATATATGCCATAAGAGCTTAATTCCAGCATGCCAATCTCTGACCCACTAGTTAATTTCATGCATCTGAACAACCCCTGAAATCATGATCTGCAAAGTCATGTCTCAGCAGAAAACTTAACGGGTTTGTTCTGTATCTCTATTTTAAGTAAATAAATTTACTTTTTCTGCCAACTAATATTATTTTCTTGTTTCCTCATTCTGATGAACATATATATATATATATATATATATATATATATAAAAGTTTTGATATCAAATGCAGTCTTAGAAAGAGTTCCTATAACATTTTAAATTCTTTTTAAGCATAAATTAAAACAATTATTCATGATTAATAACATATAAAATATTAAGAGATCACACTGCTTGCATGGTTAATAGTATGCATCTTTGTTAAATAGAAGCTGAAAACATATCAGAAGTACATGATCAGAAGGGAGAGGAAAAATACTATCAGAACAACACATATTTACTCTATGCTCATCTTGTAACAGCACCCTATATTTTTCATTACAATATGTCATTACCCTTACAAGACAATGTTGGGGGGGTTCTACTAGCATTATTTTACATATGAATAAAAGTAAAGTATGTGGAAATTAAATAACTTACTTCACACAGCTAGTAACAGATTGGAAACTAGTGGATTAGTTGGTGCTGAAAGTAGATGTTTTAACCTATTTATAAGTTGTGGCTTTACTTTTTCAAAGTACACTTTACTTTAGAAGACGCTATTGGAATATTGGTTAAATTAATCCTTCAGAATGATGTGAGAATTTCAGTCCACATCACAGTTTTTTAAAACCTTTATATTTTACCTTTAACTTTTTTATATTAAAATAATTAACATAATAGGACAGAGATGGCCAACTTCAGAAAAGACTGCTTGTAAGAGTTCCCCTTGGCCAGCATGAAGGAACCTGCATTTCAGGAGGATTCTGTCATAGGAGTGATGCACTATGTCTACACTGTTTATGCAGTGTAGTTTCTGCTAAATACCTAGTTTGCTTCCTGGAGGCTGGAATTTGGTAAGTGCTGGGAAGAAAGTATCAACAAAACCAGCCACCAGGAAAAAGCTTGAGCCTCTAAAAGCTTCCTTGGTAGGTAACACTTTACATGTGTTGCTGCAATAAGTTGCTAGGGAAATTAAGTGCATCTGTGCCACCCCATCTGGCTCCTGGCACCATGTTTCCTCAGATTATTATACTCTAGATAGTTGTCTATTTTATTACATTTTTATCTCCTTTTGCTGTAATAAATCATACACATGACTATATGTTGAGTCATGTAAGTGACCTGAAGGAATCATCAAATTGGACAGTGGTCTTGGAAGCACAAGACACACTGATTAAATATTTGGATATTTATTATATTAGGACTTCGGGACATACAGAGCTAGGTAAGTAGAAGGACTAGCATATGACATACAAAGGTTTATACTTTTAAAAAATATGCCATGTATATTATTTTCTTTAATTTCCATATAAACTTATAAAATTCTTTCCTAAAAGCACATAATTCCTTGCCTCTTTCACGTAAATGAAGCATTTTTAAGTTCATGTTGGCCTGAGCAATTCATATATCCAAAAGTAATTCCAACAAAGACTTTAAGTAATGTAACATTGGTTAGAATTCGGGACATTTGTGAGCTTCCCCAAAGACTGGATTCTTATCAAGTAAACACCAGATGCAAAACACAAATTAATTCTAAATAATAATCTCAATAATCTTTCACTGAAGTTATTCTTTCAACTTCAGGATTCCAAAACCCTGGGCTGGGAAGGCAGAGGATATCTCAACCTATTTAGATTGCCCTAGGTTGTGGCTTTACTTTTTCAAAGTACATTCTACTTAGAAGATACTACTGCAATACCGGCTAAATTAATCCTTCAGAATGATGTGAGAATTCCAGTCCACACCACAGTGTTTTACCTTATCGGCCTGACGCATATAGCAGTAGAGAATTCCTCTCATACATTTTATAGCTGAGTGCTCCAGCTCATGGGTCCTTCCCTTGTCATCATCAATGCGCCTGGGTGAGAGAGATAACTCATGAAACAAATTGGAAATGTATTTGAAAAGGAAGCAGAGCTTTTGATAATTAAGTATTTAACTATCTGGCTAATCCTGTGTTCTGGTGATGTCCACTAATTCTGTCACAGTAAAACTCCATTTTTCCAGCAGATGTTGAAATGCTGCAATTAAAAGAAAAAATCTGTGACGGAACTTGTATAGATTTTTTTTTCCTTATTTTAAGTAAGTAAGCCAATTCCTTTTAAAATAACATATAATATTTTCCATAATGATTTGGCTAGACTACATACAAAAAAATTACTGTTATAAAACAGAAGCAATTTAAAATACCGATTCCTTTAGGCTATGCAATGGTTTGGATTTAAAGACACACAAGTTAAGGCGGCACATGCTTTCTTTGCTCTGCCATGGCTTTAGTACAGTCAGGGAAGGCAAGTCACAGTCAAAGATGTCCTGAACTCAATACAATATTTTAGCAGAAAGTTTTATATTCTCAGGTACTGCTGTAAAAATCAATTGACCATACTTTAAATCACTTTCTTTTAAAAATAAAGAATAGCTACAATATAACTATTAAACAAGGATACGATGTTCAATGTAAAAGTTGATATTTTATTATAAACCAGTGACTTTTAAAAGGTGAATGAGAATTATCCACTACTAAAAAATAAAAATGACTTCTTCATTATGTTTCATCCTAAGTAAAATATCTGCCAATCATAAAATACCGATTCCTTTAGGCTATGCAATGGTTTGGATTTAAAGACACACAAGTTAAGGTGGCACATGCTTTCTTTGCTCTGCCATGGCTTTAGTACAGTCAGGGAAGGCAATAGTCACAGTCAAAGATGTCCTGAACTAAATACAATATTTTAGCAGAAAGTTTTATATTCTCAGGTACTGCTATAAAAATCAATTGACCATACTTTACATCACTTTCTTTTAAAAATAAAGAGCAGCTAAAAACTGGTTTTCTCCCTTGAAAAAAAGTATCATATGCTCTGTTAAAAAGTACTGTATATTATAATATGTTATATTAACTCCTACTTCCATCTCACATGTGAGTACAGGGAAGAATGATCACCATTTTAATATACTATGGTGAAAATCAGAAAAAAATATTCTATGTTCTTTATCTTTGGTCAATTATTTCTCTGTTTTATGAAGACACTACAGAAAAAACTAGAATTTGGTCTGCACTTTCCCAATATCAGACACAAGTGTTTTATTAAAGATAAATTTGATACAAGATAACACGCCCAGCAAACTAAGGTCTTTCAGTTCTCTATCCGTTACTTGAAATCTTTTAAAAAAAGTTAATGCCTGAATTTTGTACATATGTTGGCTGTACTCTTTTTTTTTTAAATATTCCCACATTTTATTACAGAAATCTTCATATGTGCAAAAAAAATTAAGGATGCTACAATGAATAAATCTTTTAGACTTAGCAGTTAATGTTCACATATGAAATCTATATCAAACCGTAGGGTTTTTTCTTCACTATTTTAAAATAAGCTACAGATACCATGACCCTTCACCCTATACGTCAGAAATATTTGTAAAAACAAAATATATTCTTCTAGGGGTCAAGGAGATAAGTCAGTAGCAGAAGCACCCGCCTGGCAAGCACAAGGTCCTGAGTCAATCCCTGGTACTGCACACACACACAAAAAAATTCTTCTAGGGCCGGCAAGATAGCTCAGTGGACTAAGCATCTGCTTAGGCCAGCACAGGGACTGAGTTTGATCCCCAGTACCACATGCCATGCTGGCCGTGTCCCAGAGCATGCTGAGCCAATGACCAAGTCGGCGTAGTGGTGCAGGCCTGTAATCCCAGCTCTGGGGAGGCTGAAAATTGAAAAAAGGAGGATCACTATAAGTCCAAGCTATGTAGTAAAACCCTGTACCAAAAACATTAAAAAAA